CGCTCCGCTCGCTGCCCGTTCCGACTGGCGCGCACGCGCCGCTTGGGACAGGCGCACGCGCAGTACGACCCGGAGGAGGACGAGCCGGTGCTTGAGCCCGCCTGGCCGCACCTGCAGTACGTGTACGAGTTCCTGCTGCGCTTCGTCGTCTCCAACGAGACCGACCCAAAGGTACGCCGCACTTGGATTTGCCCTTGGTCTCCGAGACACGCCTGTCCATGTCTCCCCAAATCTCCCCATAGCCACATTCCCCGCGACACCGACCGCTGACACGCGTCCACACCACACGCACACGCACGCGGCCATGACACGTCGTCCGCACACTTCGGTTTCAGGTGGTCAAGAAGTACGTCGACACGCAGTTCCTTGTCCGGCTGCTCGACCTCTTTGACTCCGAGGCACATTGCACACCCACACTCGACACTCACACCCACACTCGACACACCCACACCGACACACCACGCGCACTGCACACCCACGCTGTACACACACACGCGCACGCACGCACGCGCGCGCACACAATGATTCGGGCGGGTCGGTGGAATGGGTAGGACCCGCGCGAGCGAGACTACCTCAAGACGATCCTGCACCGCATCTACGGCAAGTTCATGCCCTACCGCGCCTTCATCCGCAAGGCCATCAACCACATCTTCTACCGCTTCATCTACGAAACGGAGCGGCACAACGGCGCGCCCCCCTCCCGCCCGGCCTTCGCCGCGCACCACCCGCAGCGACGCCGCCGCACCGCCGCCGCGCCGCCGCGACGCTGCTGCGCACCCGCCGCGCAACCCTGCCGATCCACCCGGCGGCACTTCTGGCGCGCGCAGGCATCGCCGAGCTGCTCGAGATTCTGGGCTCCATCATCAACGGCTTTGCGCTGCCGCTGAAGGAGGAGCACAAGTCGTTCCTGCTGCGCGCGCTGCTGCCGCTGCACAAGGCTCTCGCCGCCGCCGCCGGCCACCGCCCCGGGCCAGACTGTGCAGCTCGGACGACCTCGGCCGCCCTCCCCCCGACAGGTGCGCTTTGTCGGCATGTACCACCAGCAACTCTCGTATTGCGTGACGCAGTTTGTGGAGAAGGACCCGAAGCTTGCCAAGCCGGTGCTCGAGGCGATCCTCAAGTTTTGGCCGTGCACGCACTCGCCCAAGGAGGTGCTCTTCCTCAGCGAGGTTGAGGAGATCCTCGAGATGATTGCGGCGCCGGAGTTCGTCAACGTCATGGCGCCGCTCTTTGCGCAGATCGCGCGCTGCATAGAGTCGCCGCACTTCCAGGTGGCCACACAGGAACACACACACACACACACACACACACACACACACACACATACACATCACACACAAACACACGCACCAAGATACACACACACACACATCAACACACCTTGCTCAACCACGCGCACTGGGCCTTGCACTTTCAATGCCGTGGGGCTCCTGTTTTTTAGACGTGGAGTGTTGGCGAGGGTTGCCCCCCCCCCCCCCCCCCCCGGACCGACCCCCCCCCCTGTTTAGGTTGAGCGGCTCGCCGCGAGGCAGTCGCACTGGAAGGCGATCGAGGCGGACGCCGAGGCAAACCCGCTGTACCCGCGGGTGCGTGCCGCTGGGCGCGAGCACAGGGCGCGCGTTGCCCCTCGCCCCGTGACGCGGCCGCGCCGCCGCCGCAGGTGAAGCACGCGCTCAAAGCGAAGGCGTCGCTCGCCTATGCGATGCGCGCGCAGCAGCTAAAGTCGGGCATGACGATGTTCGACGACGCCAGCAGCGAGCCGACTGCGTTTGGCGAGCTCGGCGGCTCGCGGCCAGGCGGCGTCGACGCGATGCGGCGCAAATCTGCGCTGCCGTCGCAGCCGGCGGCGATCGCGACGTGAGCAGGGGGTGGCGGCAGCAACGGGACGCCGGACCGCACTGTTGACGGCCTCCCGCGCATCTCGCGCCGCGTTGGGCCAGAGTGAGATCGCGGGTTGCAGGGCCGTGTGCATCATTGCGGGGCGTGTCGGGGAGGGAAGGGCAAGAGGGGCGAGAGCCGCGGCCACCACTGGTGAGACGCGATCGAGCGGCGGCGCGGCGCTGCTCGGGTGCGTCCCTGTGCGCACTGCGCGGTCTGGTGGGTGGGCCTGGGCGCAGCGAAACTCAGGCGCGCCCGTACGATTATTCTTTACTACCGCGGCTCGGTTGCGCGGCGCCGCGCACGCACACGGATCGCACACACACTGCGCACCACATACGAGTCGACTCCACAAGTCACAGCTCACACACCAACGGCATGTTGTGCGAGTATATGGGCCAAAAGCGTCGAAAATGTCCCAAAAAGCGTGCCTCGAGTTTGTGGCAGCTCCGCAGCCTGCGCGGGCTGCCAGGACTCACCGCTCGCGCGTTCGGCACACTCGGTGGACCCCACCGAGTGTGCCGAACCAACGGGAGTGAGTAGGCTCGACGCCGCGCTTGCTGTGGAGCTGCCACAAACTCGCCGCCGAATGTGCCACCGACGGCGTCCCGGCGGAGGTGATGGAGTGTGAGACCTGAGGCTGCGGAGGTGACGCCTGAGGTACCGGCCCGTGTACGGCGACTCAGCCGGCGACCGCCACGGGCTCAGACGAGACTTGTCGACGCGTTCCGGCTCAGCTTCACCGTGGTCATCGGGCGTCTGTCGACGTCAGGACCACCCATACAGCTCGCGGGTTTGAGGTCGCAAGAGCCAAGATGGTGGCGTTTGGACATCCCAACCATCACACAAGACAGCCTGTAGGTGATGGCGGGACGGCGCAGTGTTTGTGGCACTCGGCAGTAGGCACCCGCGGCACAGCCCCGCGGTCGGCTCTCGCGGGCTGCGGAACCGGCCCCAGAAGGGGACGGTCCGGGCGAGTGTGGCAGCTCCTGCGCTAGTATGGGCACCCTCTATCACAACACTACTGATCCTGGCCATTAGAGCTGCCAGGGATAGCGTCAGGAGCTGGTAGGAGTCAAAACCCCTCATATTTGAGACATCGTGGCCCATATACTCGCACAACGAGCCCAACGTACAGAGGGCAACGAATCGTACATTGCATCATCTGCGAGGGGGCTCTATGTAGAGAGGCGCGCAAAAGTCCCCACCGCCCCGCTCGCTCGCGCACGTCGCCCGCCGCTCTCGACTTGCGCCAGCCTCGATGCTACGCCGGCTCAAACGCGAACTTGACAAACTTGTCGGCGTGGCCTTGCTTCATGCCCACGCTCTCCGCCACCGTGGCGCGCTCCGCCGCGTCCATCGTCCGCAAGTAGCGGAGGTCATCATAGCCCTGCTCCTCGAACGCCGCCGCGTACCGGCCCAGCCCGACCCCCTCGAGAGCCTGCACCACCGCCGGCATGCCGAGGGGCGGGAGGGGCTCTGCCGCCGGCATACCAAGCTCGGTCGCCGGGCCGCCCTGGTGCGGCGCAACGCGCGACGCACACCACGCCAGCAGCGCCGCACACACCGCGCCATCCTCGTCCGCCAAGTTGGAGGCGGGCTCCCAGGAGGGGGCATAGCAACCCTTCCACGCGACGAGGTACTCGACGCCGCCGCTCGGCCGGCGCCGCTCCGAGAGGATGCGGTCCACCTCGAACTCGGCAGCGGAGGCGGCGGCGGTGGTGGAGGAGGCGGCGGAGTGGGAGGCGGCGGCAGAGGCGGAAGTGGCGGCACCGCCTGCGCCGACCGCGGTCTCGACCTTCTGCCGCTTGCGAGGCGCGGTACTGGCCTGCGGCGCTGATCTGGCTGCAGACCTGGCCGCCAGCTCAGCCTTGCCCTCTACCGAGCGTGCGTAGCGGAGGGCCGCCTCCTCCGCGGTGGCGTAGCGGCCGAGAATGACGGTGGTGCCCTTGCGGTACACTTGAGCATAGTAGGGCGTGGCACCGCTGCTCACTTTGTACACGCCCTTGAAGCCCGTGCTGCTCCGCTCGCTCCTGATCAGCTCGCTGCTGCTGAGCTCGGAGTTGGAGGGGAGCTGCGGCTGCGGCGGCGGTGGCGGTGGTGGTGGTGCATCCCTTGCCGCCAGGTCGGCGATGCCCTCTGGCGTTGCAGCGTAGACTCGCGCCCCCTCCTCTGCGGTGGAGAAGTGGCCAAGAGTGACGGTCTTGCCCTTACGGTACACTTGGACTCGGTAGGGCGTGGCACCGCTACCCACTTTGCTCACGCACTTGAAGCCCGTGCTGCTCCGCTCGCTCCTGATCAGCTCGCTGCTGCTGAGCTCGGAGTTGGAGGGGAGCGGCGGCGGTGGTGGCGCATCCCTTGCCGCCAGGTCGGCGATGCCCTCTGGCGTCGCCGCGTAGGCCCGCGCCCCCTCCTCCGCGGTGGCGTAGCGGCCGAGAATGACGCTGGTGCCCTTGCGGTACACTTGGACACCGAACGGCGTGGCACCGCTGCCCACTATGCTCACGCCCTTGAAGCCCGTGCTGCTCCGCTCGCTCCTGATCAGCTCGCTGCTGCTGAGCTCGGAGTTGAGCTGCGGTTCTGCCCCCGGACCTGGCGCCGCCGCATCCGCCGGCTCCGCCACTGCCAACTTCGCACCCATCTCCAGCCCGGCCGGCGGCGGCGGTGCTGCTTCTGTCGCCTCCGCCACCTCTGCGCCCCCCGCCGCCGCCCCGTCCGCACCTGGTGGCGCTGCGAGGCCGCAGATGCCGAGGTCCCACTTGATGACCACTGAGGTCCCCGCTTTGATCTTAGTGAAGCGGGACGTGTGCTCGCTGCACGCACACGGCATGGGCAGCTTGAGGACGGTCCCGGCGGGGTAGTCGGCAGGGAGCGCGAGGCGCAGCTTGGCGATCTGCGGCGCGTTCGCGTCCTCGCGGTCGTACGCACGCTCCCAAGGTAAATCGCGCGGGAGCAGCACGAACTCCGCGGGCGGCATCGCGCTGCCAGATTGACGGAGAGCTCCTGAAATGAGTGACTGCTCTGACGCGAAACTGACTGACGCGAATACGTCGGCTCGCTTTGGTTACCGGCGTTTTCTTTTTCCATTCCTCCTTGGCGCTCATTCCTCCTTGGCGCTGACTGTGAGAGGTTGGGGTGCGAGCCCTGGAGGCCCTGGGGACGGTTCTCAAAGAACATTAGAAGCCGCGTCGTTTGCGAAATTATGTCCACTGCTGCCGTCCTGTCTCCTGAGGCCCCAAATGACGTGTGAGTGTTAGAGAGTCCTGTGACGTGCGCCGGGGAGGGAGTCAAGCTCTTTGTGACTGCAAGCTTCTGCGCGTGCGGAACGACTCGACAGAGCCCAGAGGGGGGGAGGGACGCGTATGTCCTTCCCCAGCCCTAGGATGGGATCATGTGCACCGTTTCTTTCCTTCTTTTCCGAGGCGAAGGCTGCAGCAGGGCAGTCAATGCAGACAGGTAAAAGTCAGCAGCATTCCGAATGTGGAGAATGGCTGTGCCGTGCAGCTGACCTCCAGAAAGCTGACTCGACCGGGGCGATGATCTGCTTACAGGAGGCCAGCGTGAACCACGCACGGACCGTTTCTCTGTACCGCCGCTGGCGCTCCCGGGCATCCGTGAGTTTGTCCCCATTGCTCCATGTTGCAATGGCAGTTTCGCCAAGATTCGCCCATGACGTGAGCTGCTTGTACATTGCATCTGAGTCGGATGTCGCAAAGCGAGCCCCGTGGCACTTCTCCGTGTTCAAGTTGAGCTTTGGGATGTCGCAAGCCTTTGCTTTCTTCCGCAACAGCCGGCCTGCGCACTCTGCGGAGCCATTAAGCGCGTTATGCGTCGCATCCATAGCGTTGCAAGAAGCGTCGTCTAGCTTCATTGTGCGGAGGTGGAGGCCCACGTCGCACGCCGGAAGCGTGCCGTTGAACTCGAGCTCGTGGAGGCGCTGGTCGTTGAGAGTGCGGCTGCGGCTCCCCACGCCTCCCTTGCCAATGCACCGCCGCAGCTCTTTGATGTGCGGGTAGAACAAGGCCAAGGACATGCGTTCAAAGCGGACGCTCCGCGCGGCATCTTGGATGTCCTCGCACGTCGCATGTTCAAGGACCGCACGAACGCCGTTGAGCACGCTGGACGACGCCCGTATGCTTCGCCCCTTCCACGTGATGTACCGATACAGATCAAACGTCGTGGGCGAGCTGCAATTTGGCCAGGAGCGCCGTGAACGTGTATGTGATGCCCGAGACGCCGCACGGTTTGTCACGCTCGCTGGAAGGCAGAAGGCAAACTTGATGGTCGTGTTTGTGGTGGTGGCAAAGTTGAGCCACCTCGCGGTGCCCAAGATGGAGTGGCCGATTCCCGTGCCGGGCCATGCGTCAATAATGACGAGCGCTGCAGTGCCGTCCACCGCAGTCGTGTTGCGATGGGAAGCACCGGAAACCGCAGCCTCGTGCACCAGTGCCGCTGGTGACTTGAGAGTCCTGCTGTGCTGTTGAGCGCTGACGGCCACCCGCGGCGCCAGATGAGAACTGTCACCTCTCGAGCAGCGGTAACGGACCAGCCAGTGGGCAGAAGCGCGGGCCGCGGCTCCAGTGAAGCACTCTGGTTGGGGCTTGGGAGTAGGCTCGGACGAGTTTGCAAATTCCATGTAGCCCTCTGCACATCACCTTCCTTCGCCGATCAACCAAGCTTCAGCCCAATGGACCTAGTGGCGTCGAGGCCGCACTAGACATGCCGGCCGGATTGAAAGATCCGCGCGGGCACTGGTTGTCATTTAGGCAGACTTTTACCCATGCCGTAGAGAAAAAATCAGCGAGGACCCACCAAAAAAATGGCCGCCACGGCCCACGCCCATGGGTAGAGTTAAAAAGTTAATCATGCTATCTCCCTCGCTCATGTGTGACCTGTGCTTGCCCACTTGGCGCGGCCTTCCCGGTCAGTGGTGAGGCGCAGTTCAGAGCTGTCTGCACCTTGTGGCAGCAGTCAGCAGTGCATGTTTGATAGCTAGAGCAGCAGCGTCAGGGTCGCAGGGTCGGATCGTGTCAAGCCTCTCGCCCGACCGGCCGCGTGCAGACGTCGGGCCTGTCTGCTGTCTGGAGACTGGAGTGATCTGTCGGCGGTCAGTACGACCGATCAGGTTGGAGGTTTCTCATGACTGGAGGGTCTATCTGTGTGTGCTCCTCGAGATCTCTCCAAATCTGCCCTCTAATCAACCGTAATCATTCGGGAAGTTGGTACTGTGAGCGACTGTGAGCGCCGGAGCCCGCCGGTTTCCGCACTGCTGGTCTGCTGCGCGGCGCACAGTGCGCCTCCGGGGGCCCCCGCCCCCCCCCAGAGGCACGCTGCTGAAGCGGCAGGTGTCGTCCCCCCTCTCCATATCGTCTCACTCTGGGAGACGTCGGCGGCGATGGCGGTGTGACCGATCGAGCTACAAGACTCAAGAGGAGCTTGTTCAGCATGTGATGATCCCCGTCCTCAATCGACATTTGATGCCTGCCTTCTTCAGGGGAGTTGTCGGCGCGTCGGCGGTGGCTGAGGCGAGCACGCTGCACTAACTCCTCGAGAAGGGTCTTAGGTACACCTACGGGCCGGCGATATTCCTGCGGCGCCCGGATGCTAATGCCTGGCTAATGCTTGGGAAGACAAACCAAACGCGTAAACCCCGTTTTCGGCTTTGCGGACATTCTGCCTTATAGCACACACACGACACAGTGAGTCATGCGGAGTCATTCGATGACAAAGAAAGAAAGTAAAGAGACAACCCAAGGGAGGGATGGGAGGACGGCACGCCGCCACCACACAGGGATTTTTTAAGGAGAGGAGTGTGGTGCTAGCCGTCGCCCACCCAAACCCTTGGTCGTCTGCCTCTTTCTATCTCCCTTCGCAGTCCCTCGCCGATTCTCGCTGCAACCTTCATGCCACCTCGCGGTCGTCCCACTCTCGTCGTTCTCCCTCCTGTCGCTTCCTCCTCTGTCGCGTCGCCCTCGATCGAGTCATTCGATGGCAGCTGGGGTAGGTAGGTAGGTACAAGCGCCCCCGCCCCCGCCGCTGGGGTAGGTAGGTGCGGACTTTAATTTCTTTTTGCACAACACTGGGCACAGGACTGGGCACGGGACTGGCTTGTCAAAATGTAAAATTCTTTCTGAAAACGCGAGGACGGAGAGGTCGCGGACAGTGCCGCGTCGAGATGCGTTCGTACTCGTGCTACTCGAGCTTCCTTCATCTCGTCCTGCTGGTGGCTGGAGCGGGATGCCTCACCGTATCACCGTCACCGGCCTGTCGTCCCTTCCGGCTCTTCCTCTCTCCTTCCGTGCGATCGCTGGCAGTGCTCAGCAGTGAGGTCGCGATGCCACCAGAGGAGATGAAGCTGAAGGAAATCAAGGAAGAGCTGGACTCGCGCGGCGTGACGTGGCGCGGCGTTTGCTTCGAGCGGACTCAGCTCGTCGCAGCGCTCACCCAAGCTCGCAGTATGCCGGCGCCTGCTGCGCCGCCGCCACCCGCGCCGCCGCCGCCGCCTGCCGCCGCTTCTGCAACGCCTGCCGCGGAAGGCGATGCGATTGGCGCGATGAGCCTCAAGGCGATTCGCGAGGAGCTGCAGCGGCGTGGCGTGACCACCACTGGCTTCTTTGAGAAAGCGGAATTTGTGGCGGCGCTGCGCTTGGCGCGCGAGACCGGCGACGCTCCGGCGGCAGCGCCCGAGGCGGCGGCGGACGTGGTGGAGGGGCAGACGCAGCGTATGCCTCGCAATCAGGCTCCGGGCAGTGTCGGCGGCATGGGCGGTGGCATGCCCGGCGGCGGCATGCCCGGCGGCATGGGCGGCGGCATGCCCGGCGGCATGGGCGGCCTCGGCGACATCCTTTCGGGACTCGGCGGGATGGGCGGCGTGGGCGGGATGGGCGGGATGGGCGGGATGGGCGGGATACAAGAGATGCTGTCCAAGGTCATGTCCAACCCCAAGGCGATGCAGCTGATGCAAAAGGCGCAGGCGAACCCAAAGGTTCTGGCGGCGCTGCAGGACGTGCAGGCACAAGGCTTCTCGCCGGCGGCTCTCGCGAAGTACTCGTCGGACCCCGAGCTGATGGCGCTGCTGACAGAGTTCCAGGAGGTGATGCGGTGACGGGACGGAGGGCGAGGCGCGAAGGCGGAGCGCGTGTGGTGTACGTGTTTGCGGATTAGAATATAGAGCGGCGAGCTCACAGCTCAGACGTATACAGGGTTGGTGGACTAATGTTAGAACGGTGTTGGCACGTTAACGGTTAACACCACAGCCGCAGAGGTGTTAGAACGTGCTAACACTGCCACTCGGGAGGTGTTGGCACGCTCCGTTAGAGGGGTGGGGAGGCTAGGCGCGAATTCTTTGAAGGAGCGCTACCAGAGTCCAGAGAGCAGAGTTGTCACGCGACCACACGCCCACGCGCTCGCTGGGCGGTGCTGAGACTGGCCGCAGCGCGATGAACGGCAACGACGAGCCGCGTGCTTGTGCTGCATGCAAGCTGGTCTTCGAGCACCAGAATGCAGCGGCACACAGCTGCAAGCAATGCAAACTGCCGGTGCACTCGTGGGTGGCGTGCGATATGGTGTGGATGCCAGAAGAAGGCGAGTACTTCTGCGGCAAGCCCTGCCTCGAGGCGTACAACGCCAGCGGCGTGCGCAGCGAGGGCGCCCTGCCGCTCCGCCAGCGGGTCGACTCGCCTGAGGAGCCCCCGGGCCAGGGTGGCGGCGGCAAGGAGGCTGGTGGCGAGGAGGGCGGTGGCAAGGGCGGCGGCGAGAGTGGCGGCGAGGGCGGCGGCGGCGAGGGCGGCGGCGGCGAGGGCGGCGGCGAGGGCGGCAGCTCGTCAAGGGCAGCAAGCGCGGTCGCCAGGCCCACCCGGCCGCCGCACCCATCAAGTATGAGCACAAGGCGCCGAGGACTGCCTCTAGAGAGGTGCGTGTGTCGGGGTTGGTGTACGGCGCGCTCGTCTCGTTGTGTGCGTGAGTCATCTACCTTGGACCCGTCTGTCTGGGGAGGGGAGGGGCTGTTGCTGCCCTTGGTTTTAGTATGTAAAGAACGCGCATCTGGTCATATTCACTTCACACCCGCAGCTGCGATTGCGAACATGTCCCATGGGCGTCCCCAGCCATCCGCATCCCAAATGCGCCTATTTATGATTATCCCTCGTGCTCGACGCCCTCCTCAAAGTCGGCAATCGCCGCATCCACATCCTCCTCTTCCGCCTTTCGGTACTTCTTGAGCGCATTCTTCAGTGGCGTCTTGCCACAGTTCTCGTACAGCTCCTCGAGCTCCACCCAGCGCGTGTCGGTGAATCCAGCGTCATTGCTGTCCTCTTTGAAGGTGCCTCGCGTGAGGTAGCACACGGCCTTGTCGGCAGCAGCCAGCCTGTTGCGCCGCTTCTTTGCGATGAGCTGCTCGGGCTCGCAGAAGCGCATGCCGAGCACTGCCTCAATCTTGAAGCAGAATGTCGGCACGACCGCATCGTCCGCACCGCCACCTGCCAGCCGCGCCTGGCGCAGCGCCGATGCTGCCTTTAGCACTTGTAGCGAGCGCACATGGTGCGGTGCGCGTACTTGAGCAGGCGGTGCGAGCCGCAGTTGGCGCAGGGGCCCTGGGAGTGGGCGCGCGCGGCATTGACGCGGACCCAGGTATTTCTCGGGTATACCTGGTTTTTTGCAGGTATACCCGGGTTTTACCGGAGGGTGTGCCAACACCGTGCTAACGGCTGTGCTAACGCTTGTTTTGGGACTGCCGTTCGACTGTGCTAACACCGACCTTTGCGCCAAGTGTTGGCACGATCTGTAGTCAGTGCTGCCCCTGGAGGTGTGCTAATGTTAGTCCACCAACCCTGGACGTCTACCTCTCGTCAGAGAGTACGCTGTTAGGCTGTCACGTGAGTTCCGCTGGTGACCGAGCTCGTGACGTGACACTCTCGTACGGTACACGGCAAAAAACTGTGTGAGATCAGTCCTCGGATCAGTCATAGTGGGCTCAGCCCCCCTCGCGCGCGCGCTCGCGCCTCCGTCACGCTCACGGCAGCAGGCAAGCCCCTCCTTTGCTGCCCGCTGCCGGCCGCGCTCCCGCACCCCACCGGTCCGGCTGCGCCACCTCGAGCAGCTGCACGGCGAAGAAGCAGCCGGATGCGGCGAGCACAAACACGTGCCAGACTGCGTTGTGGTACTCGAGGCGGTTAACCGCCCAGGGCACCAGGCCCACTGTGTACAGCAGCCCGCCGGCGAGACACATGCTCTGCGCCCACGGCGTGAGGGCTCCCATCACGTCGCCCCACGCCGAGACCACCGCCCAGCCCATCATAATGAAGAGGGGCACGTGCACATTCACCACGTCGAGGCGGGAGCGGCTCGCCTTGACGGCAAACGAGGTGAGCGCTAGCCCCCAGACGAAGACGAGCGTGCGCGGGCAGCAGGCCATCGCCATGATCGGGCAGTAGGTGCCGGCGATGAGGAGTAGGATCCCAGTGTGGTCTGCGAGCTGCAGCGCCCAGAGGTGCGGCTTGGACCAGGCGAGGCCGTTGAAGGTGGCGGAGCAGAGGAGCATCGCGAGCAGCGAGGCGCAGTAGACGAGCAGCGCGCCAACCACCTCGGCGGGAGGCCGCTTGGCGGCCTGCGTGGCGAGGAGTGCGCCGACGCCGACGAAACCTAGCGCGACTCCCGCCACGTGCACAACGCCGTCCGCGAGGAGCTCTCGGCGGCTGTAGCCGGTCGACGGAGGCCGGTAAGGGCCGAAGATGCCGTCCGGATACCACGCGACAGTTTCGCGCCAGTAGCCCGGGCGGGAGGCGGCGGAGGGAGCCTCACTCGAGGCGCTCTGCGCTCCTGGCGGTGTCTTGGGAACCGACGGGAAGTCGGAAGCCGAGACGCCGGAGCGTGTCCGACGAGAGGCCATCCGCGACTGGGAAGAAAAGGGTCGCCGTGGCACGAGATAGCGCGCGCAGTACTACAACAATGGAAGTGAGTGTGTTAGTTAGTTAGGGACGGTGGAGAACTTCGACCGCACGTCGTTTCTCCTTCTTTCAGATCGAAGATCAGCTGGTCGGCCGCCATGTGGGCCTCCGGGCCTGCTGCGGCGGCGCGGCCGGTTGAGGCCGGGACCGTACACAGGCCGTGCAGCCTCTTTCTTGTGCCACATGAGGGTATAACAAAACTATTACATGCAAAGACATGTAGTCATGGGATGGTCATGGGTCTCTCCTAGGGTCGCTCTCTCAACCCTCCCGCCCCACCTCTGCGGACCCGCGGCTGAGAGAGAGATTTTTATTAACCAACAAGAAATCACGACTCTCACAGTGATTTGGGCTCGGCAGCTTGTTAGCCCTCAGCCGAAGCTGGGGCCGGTCCCGTAGCCGAGAGAGCCCGCGCCGTGAGTTCGACGCGGTCGGGAGGCCTTGCGGAGAGGCCAGCGAGGTGGCGATCGCTGTACTTCATGGTCGTCATCAAGTGACCGGCTGACAAGCCAGAGGTCGATACTCTGGACGACCCATAGGATGCCACGAATGCCTGAAGGAGAGGGAGGCGAGGCCAGAGGCAGGCTCAGCTGCTCTCGGGTGATCCCGCTTTGGAGGCTGAAGGACCCGATGGTCCTGTCACATTCGCGTTCCGAGTCGTGGGGGTAGAAGAATTCGAGTAGAAATCGAGTCAGCACTTCCTTGTAGTACAGCGGACCGCCAGGCTCGCCGGCAGCATCCGCAGGGAGGCAGCATATGCTGAGAATCCGCGCGGCCAGTGCCACGTACCCCCCTTAAAAAGAAATACACTCCCCTACCCCCAATGGAGCCGAACCCGGGCGTGACGTCGGAGATCGTCGGAGATCGAACCGTGACACGCCCCCATACCCCCTGCGTCACGCTAAGTTCTAATTGCAGTGTCACGCATGAACAGGGACCCCGAAATGCTCCGTGCCAGAGACCTCGGTCATAGACGCATACAGAGACGCGAGAGGGGGTTACGTGAAGCTATCTACGCTGCAGCCGTTACGATCCAGAAATACGCGCGCCGCAGGTGGGATGGGCTTGCTCACGCTATGCGGAGGCTGCGGAGGCTGCTGCGGCACCTGTTTAAGGCTCTGATGCGACCGGACGTACGCCATTTGAGTCTTCGCTGCTTCCGAGCCCTTCGGGGGGCCGCGGTAGGTGTACGGCCGCTTCCCAGTCGTTGAGGTCGCTGGAGTAGCCGCTTGAGTACGAGCTGGCGCTCCCCTCCTCTGCATCGCTGTCCTCTGCTTCAGAAGAAGTAAAATCCGAGCCCGAGAGCGCGGCGTCGACCTCCTCAGGGGGGACGTCCGCGAAGTAGCCCTTCTCACTGAGCAGCCACTTCAGAGTGGCGCGGTTCGGGTCGTAGCCGCGCACGGTCGGGTCGGTCTCCACTACGTACTGCTCCCAGTAGGTCTTCGTGGGCTTCCGCTCCCGCTTCCCAGTGACGATGTTTGCCCTCGTGAGCTCGACGCGGCTCATTGTACGTGTTTTCTAACAGCTTTAGAAAAGGTATGCTCATCTTCCTTGGCCCCTACGCCCCCTACGAGCGGCAGCTCGCTCTGACACCCTTCACGGACAACACGACGGTCACCACAGGCCCCCCTCTCCCACCCGACGACCCGGATGGCTGGATCTTCTTTGCCATGCTCGCAGTGTGCATGCACCTCGTCGCGCCCCATGTGTTATTCTAAATAAAAAGAAAATGCCCTTCAAGCAACTCTCACTGCGGAAGGAGGACGCGGTCTTGAAGCCAGACGACCCCCCCGAGCCGATCAAAATTTTTTTCATAACGCGTGCCAAGCCGCAGCAAGGGTATCTGGGCTCTCAGAACACATGTACTCTGCTGCACTTCAACGCAGATGGGGACTCTGCGCAGACTTACGACGGGGACACCGAGGGCTGTGTGATTCAGGTGTACGGAAACAACATCACTATGCCGGGAAATGAAACTACCCGTAGCTACGTGCAGCAGGTCAAGCCTGATGGGTTCTCGTACTACACACGATCTGGGAAGCGCATATGAGGCACCAGTTTTCTGGAGAGCTCAGCAGCTGCGGCCGCGGTGGCAGAGTCGGCCGCGGTTCGAGCGAGCAGCTTTCGCGGCTGTGCTACTACAAATGAAGCTACCAGCTAGCCTTCTGGGGCCCTACAGCCATATGCCTACAGCGTCTGGGTGGGGGTGGCCGCCGCCGTTTGTGCCGCCGCTGCCTGCGCCTGCGCCGCCATCTGCGCTCCCCAGGCGGCCGCCGCTGCCGGCGTGATCACGCCGTAGGAGGGGGGCAGCTGCGTCGCCGACGGCACGGTAGACGCGCGCCGCGCCACTGGCAGCTCGAGCGCAGAGTACCTGCGAGTCCTGCGCCAGCTCTCGATGAGTCAGCGCAGCAACGGGGTCTTCATCAACGACCCCAAGGGCCTCTTTATCCTCCGGTGGTACCGTGAGGTGAAGGGTGACGGGACCCCCGCAGACGGCCCGCGCTACCAGAACAGAGTCAACAGAACTCTTACCATCACAGCTCAGCTGTGAGCGCTGTCAGAGCGGTGTTACCTCTGGGCCACCCAAACCGCCACGCCCATGTTGCGCGCCGGCCCACTTTTGACTCTCATCGTGCTCGTCCGGGGCTCGGCCGCCGCGAGCGGCCCCACTCCCACTCTCATCGCGGGCGACGCCCGCGGCTCGGACTCCGTCCAGCACGCCGACATCCAACTCGACGTGACAGATGGGAGAGGTCGCGCGCTGCTGGCGCCTCCTACATTCGGCACGCTGATTGGACGCAAGGCCGGCCAGACGATGCAGATCTTTGCGTACTCGAGCGACACGTCCACGAACGGGAAGTACGGCACGCTCATCGACGCGGACACCGCCCTTCGCTGGCTCACAGTCGAGGTCGCCTTCGCCAACGGCGAGATCGAGAGCGTCGCCGCCGAGTACGGCCTCACTGCGACTATCGCCACAAACAAGAAGTCTGTCAGCGTCAGCGACCTGACTGGCTCGGGCGACACCTACCCCGCCGGCCTCGCCATGACTGTCACCTTCACCCCCGAGACGGACATGAGCAGCGTGTTCATCGACTTCTCGTCGAGCACTACGTCTACCGCGGTCCTCCACAAAGACTTTTCCGCGCACCCCACCGTCTCCGTCTCGTGGACCTCGACGCCCCGTGTGGCGACCGTCGTGCAGGACAAGAGCAACAACCTCTACCTGTTCGCCTCTCCCAACACGCCCACCGACGGCCGGGCCTCGACCATCGAGATTGCGCTCACGGACGCCTTTGCCAAGAGCGACATCACCTCCCTTCTCAAAGGCATGACGCCGCAAGTTGGCAGCGGCTTTTTTGGTCTCGGCTTCCTCGACGGCGTGTCGAAGCTCCCCGACGGCGAGGCGATCGCTGTCACGTCTCGGCCCCTCCTGGACATCGATGTGGACTCCCGGAGGGACGCGGTCGTCGCGTCTCCCGCCGCCCCGGCATTCGACGCGCTCATCTTTGTCATCGGGGCGGCCTTCTTTGACCCGTGCGGCACGTGCAACGCAATCGTCAAAAAGACTGGCAATTGGCCCGTATCGTACGGAAGCCTGTGCCTGCCTGGCGACCCGACGAAAACCTACAAGGACGGCCCCAAATCCACCGACGACCTCGTCCAGGAGACCACCGAGTGCTACACGGACATTGCAGACGAGAGTCCGGTGCGCCGCTGCGTCTCTTACGAGGCTGGCACCTACGATCCCAATACTGACCGAGCGACGTGCCTGGTGCTGCCCCCGTCGACGCCCCCTGTGTTTCCGTCGCCGCCACCGCCAAAACTGCAACCGCCGCCGCCGTCCGGCTCGCCCTCGCCGCCGCCCCTCTCGCCCTCGCCGCCGCCCCCCTCCACTCCGGTGTCGGCACTCGAGGCGGAGGCCCGCGGCGGAGGCAGCGCGGGAACGTGGGTCGGCGTCACTATCGGCCTCGTCCTCGCGCTGGCCCTGGCCGGGCTACTGCTGAGGGCGCGGAAGCCGCGGTACCCCCCCCTCAAGGGCGCGGAAGCCGACAGTGGCCTTGAATCATGACATCTAATGAGGGAGATCTGCGACTGCAAAAGCCGTAACGAGGCAAATCCTGCGGCGCCGTGACCCGACTGAAGGCTTGCGTACGCTGTGTGTGGGGCGGTAGGCTATTGCTCCAGAGAATGCCAGGCTGCCCACTGGCGTGAGCACAGACGCCTCATCTGCAATGTGCAAATCACTGCGGTGAAAGAATAGGTGGGCTTGGAGGGAGAAACTAGAGAGGAAACGAGAGGGTGCTGCAGGGAAACAAATAGACGGGGGGCGCGAAGAAACTCGGGTACAGCCTAAGGTATCGTCGCTTCATTGCGAGTGCCGCTTCTTGTGCTCTGCTTTGTTGTGTGTTTACTGTATGAACGGCAACTCGACGTTTATCGTGTGTACCGCTTACTATAACGAGTCGGGGCAGAGTACAGACAGGAAGGAAGGAGAGGTACAGACTGAGGGTCACTACGGTGGAAGCTCGAGGGGTGCATCCGGCACCAACTTGATTCCCGGATCGGCGTCTCCCCCTCCCCCTATGTGCCGCCACCCCCCTCCAATCCGTAATTCCGTAAAATCGCGCAAAAAGCGCCCTAATCGAGCTGGAGAGCGGCCCCCAGCCGCATGGGAGCGTGCCCCAGCTAGCAGGAGGCGTTAGACGTACTTTTCGGCGTGAACAAGGACTTTCGGCGACGTCCGTTCCCTTGGACACGTCGACACATGGCACCGACGCAGCTCAGCATTGTGCTGGAGCGCATGCTCAACGAACTCGGGATAGCCGACCTCAGCACGTTCGAGGCTGTGTGTCACATTTGGGCGCGGCGGACGCTGGAATCCAGGGCATCTCTCATGTCTCAAGTGTGTACGTAGAAAAGAATCTAATGAGCACAACTCTCTCTCACAGCAGACAGGCTCGACACGGTCGGAAAAACTGTCCGCTATGGACCAGGCAATCTGACCTCTTGCGTCACAAAAGGGGGCTCATCTTCCAAAATCTGTCGGTGCATGCATGGGGGCGAACTTGCGCGTTGCCGCACTCACGCGACCCGGGCGGACGTGCCCTCTTAGGCAGCCTCGGCGGCAGGGCCTTATTGCCCATCTTCGGTACTCCCTTGTTATTCGGTTGCGTTGCCCGCCTTCTTGAAGCAGGCGGCGCCCGTCAGCCACAGGAAGAGGAGCGCGCTCAGGGTGAGGACGGCCAGGACAGCGAAGACGATGCCAATGGTGCAGCCGACGCCGCAGCCGCCGCCGCCACCGCCGCCGTCCCCAGGAAGTTCAACCCTGGGGGCTTGCACGATCGCTTCGACCGTGAGACCGGCGGTGGAAATGCCATCCGCCACAAACTGAGCGACGAGAGCCTCGCTCCTGGAGGGTCGCCGTGTTCTCGAGGATGCCGTTTGCCCCCGAGAGCGCGCTCACCGCCTCGTTGGATGCGGCCTCGACCTCAAAGACGTCTTGACCGTGACGATCACGGAGCCAGGTGAGATCGTGAGGGCGACCGCCGACGTTGGGCACATCGGCCCCCGCAGCGAGCACGGCCTTGATCGCCGCCTGCTCGTCCGGGCCAAGGTCTTCGACTCCGCCGGCAAGCGAGAAGGAGGTGACCAAAGTCGCAGCAGGCGGCGGCGATGCTGAGGGTGGCGACGACGGTGATGCCGAGGGTAGCGTGATATCATTTTCCGGTTGAAAAGTTTTTGGATTACGTGCCAAAGCATTCATAGAATTTATTTTTTGTATCTGTGTTAGTGCCAGTGCAGTGTTTGCGAGTGGGTTTTGGCCGACCGTGGCGAATGCGTGCCTGGGGTGGCTGGCTGGCGGCGGCAGCCACGTGCGCACGCCCGAGGTCTGCCGTTCGATCGAGCCGCATCTGCTGAGCGGGATGGGAACGCTGGCGACATTGTCTGGTCCTTTGGCGTGGCGGGCTTTGGGATTGCGGCCGCGTACCTCACGCAGGGTGCCGAGGCGGTCTCGTTTGACGACTGAGAGTCGGAGTCGGAGTGCTTCTCCGACGACGCCGAGCCGCGGAGAAGCAAGGTCGCGCGAGCTGCAGCCGGCCCAGCGAGGACGACGCGTGGATCAAGGACGACCCGTTCATCGACGATCCATTCCTAGTAAATGAGACACCAAGAAAGAGGTATCAGGCTTCGGGGCCGAGCTATGAAGTGCGATCAACCCCCCATGGCTTGGGCAGCCCTTTCTTTCTAGTCATATTCTAGATTCTAGTTGATGAATTGAGACTCGTCCCAGTGGACGTGTCCGATTTCCGACGTCCCCCCTCGTCCCTGTCAAAGTGTGCGTGACGTCCGAACCTTTGTCATAGGCTAGAGAGTAGAGACGCTGGGATACATGAGTGAGCACGGAGCAGGCCTCTCCCTCCCGGCCCTACTTGGTTTGCCGGCTTTGCTTCTACTTGGAACCGCCGCATATACGCGTCCGCATCGTAGCTGCTAGTTAGATAGAAAGGTCGATGTGCTTCTTTCTTTCTTCATAATCAAAAAGAAAAACATCGTGTTGCCGCGCCTTGGCTTTGGCCGTTGTTGTCGGGGTCCAGCTGGCTCCTCGTCCGGCCTCGCCCTCCATTTACAGGCCTCGGCTGTCGACACCCATCGACGCAGTCGAGCCAGGGCCCTTCGATGCAGTCCTTCATCGACTCTTACGCGGAGATTGGCGAACGCGCCGAGCTCCTGCACAGTCACGCCATTCGGTGGCAGGCGGCGCTGGAGGACGCGGTCTCGCCATGCATGGATGCTGCAAGTCAGACGGCGCCTCTCGAGCGGAGAAATGCCTGCTGCCAGTGTGGCGACGGCTCGGCGGTGGGCGGATTGCCGTCGGCGGTCGCAGCCGAAGCCGCGGCGACAGCTGCAGCAGGGCGCGCGGCGGCGGCGGCACGATCTGAAGCTGCTGCGCTGCGGCTGCAGGGCGCTGCCCTGCGTCGCGCCGCGAGCGAGGCGCGTGCTGCCCTGGCGGCCGATCGGGCGGCGGCGACGCTGCAGACAGCGGCGCGCAGAGAGCGCCTCAACCTCACGAAGCGGGAGGCTGCGGCCGCCAGGGCGGCGGAGGAGCGGGAAGCCGCCGCCGCGAGGACGGCGGAGGAGCGACTAGCAGCGGCGGAGGAGCGGGTGGCTGCTGCGGCACTGGCGGCAGAGGAGAGGGAGGCTGCAGTCGCCAGGCTGGCGGCGGAGGAGCGGGAAGCCGCCGCCACCGCAGGCGTCCGCTGCGAGACGCTCGAGGCGGCGCTTCTGATGAGCGTGGTGCGGTCGCGGCGGGAGCGCGCTGCGTGCAGGCTGCAGGCCGCTGTCCGCGCGTGCCGCGCGAACTGGGCCGTGCTCGGTTTGGCCGAGGCGGCACGCGCTGCGGCGGAGTCTTCGGCTACAGCGCAAGAGTCTGCAGCGTGCCTCGTGTCCGCCGCGGTGGGCCGGTCCGCCGCAGCGGAGACGGTGGCGGCGAGCGCCCTGGCACAAGCCTCGGGCGCCGAGGCGGCTGCTGAGGCGGCTGAGCAGCGACTGGCGGCGGCGGAGGAGCGGATTGCTGCGGCGGTGGCGGCGGCAGCGGAGAAGGAGGCTGCAGTCGCTAGGGCGGCGGAGGAGCGGGAAGCCGCCGCGGCGAGGACGGCGGAGGAGCGACTAGCGGCGGTGGAGGAGCAGGCTGCTGCGGCGGTGGCGGCGGCGGAGGAGAGGGAGGCTGCAGTCGCTAGGGCGGCGGAGGAGCGGGAAGCCGCCGCGGCGAGGACGGCGGAGGAGCGACTAGCGGCGGTGGAGGAGCAGGCTGCTGCGGCGGTGGCGGCGGCGGAGGAGAGGGAGGCTGCAGTCGCTAGGGCGGCGGAGGAGCGGGCTGCTGCTGCGGCGGCAGCGAGCTGCCGGGAGGGGGAGCAAGCAGAGGTGGCGTTGGCGGCGGCGCGGGCCGAGGCGGAAGCAGCTGCGGCGCGAGAGGCGGAGCGAGTGGCCGCGGCGGTGGCCGCTGCGGAGCAGGCCACGCTGGGGGCGCGGAAGCGCGCGGCGGCGGCAGAAGCCGAGCTGGCCGAGGCTCGCGCGGGGTCGCATTGCGCTCGAGTCGAGGCGTCCGCGTTGCGGCTGGCACTCGGGCGTGTGACGCGCGCGGCGGCGGCGCTCAGGCTGCAGGGCGCGTGGCGGCGAGTCGCGAGGCGGCGGCCGTCGGTGGTGGCCGTGGCGTGCGAGGCGTCAATCGAGGACGGGCCTGGACAAGCCCAGGCTGGCTCCACGACCGCGGCGGCGGCGGTGGACGCGGCGGCCCGGCCGGTTGCAACGAGTGGCACGTCCTGCTCGCCGCCCGCGTCGCCGCGAGCAAGGGCACACCTGCGCGCCCTGCTCTCGCAGGCCGCCGCCAGCCACACAGCCACCCCCACGTGCTCACCCACCACGCGCACCGGACGCGTCCGCTCCAGCCGCCGCGGGGCGCTCCTAGCCTCTCCTCGGGTGGGGAGCTGTGGGGGGAGAGCCCACAAATGCCGCCCCACCACACCAGCGCGCGGAGAGGGCCCCCCTTTGCCTCCCCCCGCAGGCCGCCGCGGCGAGCCCCGGCGAGGTGCGGCGAGCCCTCGACTGCGTCCGCCTCGCAGAGGAGGGGATAGAGCCGGCGCACGCGCCGCTTGCAGCATGCGCCGCCGCGGCCGTCTGCGCCGCGAGCGACCAGGGCGTCGGGGGGTGTCCGCTTCGAGAGGCGCTGCCTCAGAGCGAGCCTGCGCCGCTGGAGCCCGAGTGGCTGACGCAGGCGTCGGACGAGCTGCGCGCCTCGCCGGTGCTTTCCTCAGGCACGGGCGAGGCTGCGGCGGCGCTGGGCGCGGTAGCGGAGGTGGAGCCGTTGGCGGTCGAGGCGATGGAGGCGCAGGCGGAGGCGGCGGCCGCGGCGAGGGGGCGAGACGCACTCGCGGCGCAATTAACTAATTAATTGACTATTTATTAATTAGGCGAGGGGGCGAGACGCACTCACGGCGCTCGCGTCCGAGGTGGTGGCGGTGCGCGAGGAGGCAGAGGCGGAGGTGGGACGCGGCGAGGGGCCGAAGCCGGCCACGTCCACGACACGTCCGTGACATGTCCGTGGCACATCCAGGTGGACGCGGCGAGGGCCGAGGCGGCGTCACTCGCCCTCGAGCTCGACTTGTGTCGCGTCGAGCTCGGGAGCGCCCGAAGGCGGCGCGGCGGCGCGGTTGCTGCCCTGGCCAGGACACGTCCATGACTTGTCCGAGGCATGTCCGACAGACGCGCCGACGCGGCGTCGCGTCACGCCGCGGTCGCCTCGTCGCGCGCCTCGCCGCGCGGGCGGTCGGTGCCCCCTTCGCCGCTCTCGTGCTGTCCGGCGGCGGGTGCGCTCTCGTGCTCCTCTCCGGCGGCGGCGGCGCTCTCACACTCTTTGGCGGCCAAGGCGGCTTCGCCCGCGTCGGCGGCAAGGCAGCCTTCCGACGGCCTGCCCGCACGAGGCGCGAGGCACTCGCCCGTTCGCCTCTTTGACGACTCGGACCGCCCCCACCGCGCCCGGAAGGGCAGTGCCCAGCCTGACCAGCCGCTCTTCGTGCCCCGCCGCACTCCCCGCACGACGTGCTCCGCCTCTGGTCCCGGGATCCTCCGCGACACGACGACGGTGACGCGACGCCACCTCCTGAGCGCAGTCGGCTGTGAGGATCCTACAGGCGTCTCCCCGCCTGCGTCGAGCGGCGATGCCGCCGGTCGCGGCCCAGCAGCGACGCCGCTGACCGCCATCGAGCCCCGCCGCCGCGGCTGCCCTCCCGCGGCGTCGCAAGGCGTGGCCTTCCCGTCCCTCTCTCCGGCCACGTCGCTCCCCGCCCCTTCCCCGGGCGCGGCGCTCTCCACGACCGAGGGGGCGGCCGAGGGCGAGGAGGCGCCTCCACGTCCAGCGCCCATGGACATGCCGATGAGCCCAAAGGCAAGGCACGCCAAGCCGGCGGCGGAGGAGCGGCTGCTGCAGCAGCGGGTCGCCTCAGACCGCCCTCGCGCCGCCAGTCCCTCAGTCACACCGTTACTTTGAGCCGCTCCTATCAGGTCGCATCTGTTGAGGCGGTGCTTCACGGGGTGAGGCACGCGGTGGCGCGCTCGCTGCGGAGCGTCAACGCCGCCGCGGGGCGGCCCTCACGCGCCAGCTGGAGCGGCGCGGCGCGCGGTGTCGACGCGGCGCGCGACGATGTTGCAGCGATGACGGCCGCGTGCGAGGAGTGGGCGGCCGTCCTCTGCCAGCGGCCGACGACCGCCGATGTTGGCGCCGAGCCAAGCGGGCCCGTTCGGTCGGAGCCGGCGCGGGGTATCGGCCTCGCCGTGAAGGGGGCCGAGGCCGGCGCTGGCGCGCAGGCAGCCGGCACGACCGACGAGGTGCTCTGGGGCCACCTGTTCGAGCGCGCCAGGGCGTTGCAGCACGCAATGCGCACGCTCTCGGCAGAGGTGGATGCGCTTTGCGAGGAACGGGGCACGTGAGAAAGAAAAGCGTGTGTTTGTTCACACCATGCAGTGCAAAAAATCTCCGGGGCCGCGCCGCGAATAACAATATGTTATCTGCGACGAGATAGAAAAGCCTAAAGCGCACACGCCCCAACGGCTCGCGACGGGCACAACACGATCAGCTACGTATCTCCCTACTTGCCTCGCTCGGCGTTGTGCTCCTTGATTCGCTTCTTGCTGTACCCGCGCAGCAGCAGCCGCTGCTCGAAGTACCCGAGCGAGTCGACCCCGTCCCTCTCCGCCCTCTCCAGCAGCTCCTCAAACGGCGGATTCGGCTGATGTCTGCGCGGCGGGAGGCGGGACGGGCAGCGTGAGCGCGAGAGGGTGGGTGCAAGCTCCTTCCGGTGATGCAGCGGTCACACACATTGTCCACAGCCAGTCCGGATACTCCGAGTCGGGCAGGATCGGCGGGTCCGCGCCGTCCTTCAGTATGTTGGCGCCTCGCACGACGCCGCTCCCCGACGGTGGAGGCGGCGGCGCAGCACCCGCCTTCTCGGGCGCCTTGGCCTTCTTGGCCAGTGCGCGCACGAGGCGGCCGTCGCCCAGCACAACGCGACGAGCACTCCAAGCTCGGCTCGGCGCGAGCATTCTTAAAAAAGAAATCGCCGGAGCATGGCGGGAGTGTCGGGTAGAAGAGTGGGCGATCGCCGTGCTCAGCAGGCCACCTCTGGTGTGAACTCGGGGTAGGTGCCCTTGTACACCGCGTCAAACTTAGGATGGCTCGCACGCTGCTCGCGGATCCACTGCTGCATGGCGGCGACGTCCATGTGCGGCGCGTTCGGCCCGCCGTACTTGGGTGCCCACTCCTCGTAGGCAGGCCGTGCCTTGCACGCGTCCCACCACTTTGCCGCCACCGGGAAGTGAGGCAGCAGCTCATCCAGCCACAGCGTGATCGAGGCGCGCTGGAAGAAGGGAACGATCGACACGTCGGCCAAGGAGAAGGCGCCACAGAGGAAGGGGCCACCACTCGCGTCGAGCTGGCTCTCCATGTGGGTGAGGTGAGACTCAATGCCCTTGCGCAGACTGTGCCACACGTTGTGCTGGACGAACGGATTGTCGTTGTGCTTTGGGCCGATGGTGAGCACCGCGTCCTCGTAGACTCGCACCCCGAAGTAGCCGAGCAGCAAGTTGGCCATCGCCAGCTCGCGGCCCGTGAAGACGAGCCTCGCGAGCTCGCCCTTGCTGCGGATCGCCTCGTCCCAGAGGAACATCGGGATCGATATCCACGGGAAGCACGTACCGAGACTGTCAAAGATGTGATCTACGGCGTCGTCCCCCACAAAGAATCCCTCCATCGCGCCGATGTGGAGCCATTCGTCGATGAGCTGCTTCTGACCCGCTGGGTAGAGGCCGCGCGCGGACCGCTCGCCGATGAATTTGACCTGCTCTGTCGAGTCGTACACGGGGTGGCCCTCGTGGACGAGCACGGGCAGCGTTCCGCTCGGGTTGATGGTGAGGAAGGGCTTCTTCTTCGTCTCAAAGTCGCCGTCGTGCGTCAGCGCGATATGCTTGTACACGAACGGCAACCCCGCCTCGGCCAGCGCCACCTTGGTCTTGAGCGAGTTGGCCGAGACCTCGTTGTAGTAGAACTCGAGGTCGGTCGGCGAGCAGCCCGCCTCGGTCAGGTCGATATCAGGATGGTAGCCCGGCACGGTCGTACCCTTTGCCGCACGGTCCTCCCGCGTCACGTAGCGCGGGTCAACTTTTTCGATCTGTGCCTCGATCTCCATGACGCTTCGCTCAATGACGGCCTTGGACACGGCCTTGAGCCTCGAACCTAGCGGGCCCAGCTTCTCCGACAGCGCCGCCACCTTGGCCCCGGCAGTCATCTTGAGGCCTGCCGCCCGCGCCTCCACCTCATGCTTGAGTTCAGCGGCCTTCTCTTTGAGCTCTGGAAGGTACTCCTCGACGCCGTGCAGCACCTCGGCAGCCTTCTCTTTGAGCTCTGGCAGGGCAGCGCCTCGTGATGCAGCCGCAGAGGCGGCGGCATTCGCCGCCGACATCACGCAAGAGGGAGCGTGACCCTGGACGGCGATCGGCCCGGGGGACGCGCGACTAGCATAATTTCTTTTAACGCATTTCAGGAGAGAGAGGGAGAGGGGGGGGGGGGGAGAGAGAGAGAGAGAGAGAGAGAGAGAGAGAGAGAGAGAGAGAGAGAGAGAGAGAGAGAGAGAGAAGAGTTGTTGTTGTTGTCGGAACAGTCGAGAACGGACTCATCAAACTGTTTTACTCAGGCGTTGTGCGATTCTAAAAGGCTCACCCCGTCCGCGGAACGACAAACCCAAGTACAAAAGACCGGGTTTATCTCTCAAAACGTCCTCCCCAACCGTCACCCGGCCCTTCTCTCCGCTCGCGTGCTTTTATGTTGACATGCGGGCCCATCCGCGGGGTGCACGCGTGCAGGCTGAACAACGGGCTCGCGCTCGCCCGCCCGGCCCGCAGCCAAGGCGCGGCGCGAGAAGAGAGACAGAGAGAGAGCTTTTAGCAATAACATTTAAAATCTTGCCGCACACGCCCCCTCGCCCGACGGCGACGCGGCGCGCCACCCCCGGCGCCACCCCCGCCCGGTAGGTGTGTATGAACCCCCGCCCGACCTCGCGTCTACTTGGGTTTGTCCGCGACACATCGCGGGAAGATACAGGCCCTTTTCTCGCGGCGGCACGGGGTGCCCATCCAATATCACCCCGCCGGGGCGTGAAAACAAGCCGAGACTTTCCCTCGTCCTTACACGCGCTCCCACCTGCCTTTGCCCATATATGTCACAGCCCAGCGTCGCTCGCCCCTCCAAAAGCTACGTCGAGGCCGCGAGGCTGAAGCATCCTCAGACGATGAGCCGAGAAGAAGCCACGCGACCCGCCAAGGGCAACACTCCGCTCGGGCTTCCCGTGTGCCTCGTGCCGTGTCGGCCGACTCCTTGCACTGCCGGGAGCTGGTGCCGCACCGACCTCAGCGGAGCGATCACGTCAGTCTGGCCGCAGGGCTTCGGGTGGTACAGTCCCAAGCCATCTCAGAAGAGCGTCAGCGAGATCGCGGCGAAGCTTCGCCCCTACGAGTGGACGGCAGCCCAGCCGCCGCCCGGCGCCGCGTTCGTGCAGGGCAGCGGCGTGCAAATGATGGACGCGATGTATGAGGCCACCAAGGCTGGCTCTGGGCAGGTTCCATCAAAGCTGCGCGGCGTCTTCTGGATGCAGGGGAATGGCGTCGGGGAGGAGCTTGTCACTCTCCAGTTTGGTGAGTGGGATGCCTCCCAGCGCACGCTGCTCACGCCGCTCGCGCCCTTCTCGTGGGGTTGGCCGAATGGCAAGCCCACGGACGCGCCCTTTGGAGGCCGCATGTACACGCCCGGGCTCATCGAGGGTGGCGCGCGGACGCTGCTCAACGAGGCTGGTGTCACCATCCTCACCACACCCGGGACGGCTGCGTATCAGTTCTCGGCGGAGCCCGCCCAAGGGACTTTGTCGTCGGCGAGGTTGGATGTCTTTGTCGGCAACTCGCGCGTCTCGATCCTCAATGGGTGGGGGTACGGTTTCTATGGCATGACGGGGACCCTGCGCGCGGCCTGGCTCTGCTGCGCGCCCTGCTGCTGGCCTCTCTCGCAGGCGTTCACGCTCGACGAGCTCGAGGACGGCAACCCTGCCCTCAACGGCGAGGCCTGGCACCGCGGCATCAGGTGGGGGTGCTGTGGCGTGACCTGCGTGCCCTTTGGCGGGTACACCCTTCTCAAGGTGATAGACGGCGAGGGGAGGCCGACGCGGCACCACGCCGATTTCGTGGAGTACATTGGGGATGTGCCGGTCTGGACGTGGGCGGGCAACGCCACGTCGGGGTACGAGTAGCTATTCCCGACCGGAGGGAGCTTCGTTGTACAATTCTGTAGGAAGTGAATGCGAAGATTTGGGGGGGGCGAGCGGCAAGCATTGAGGGGGACGGCGGAAGGCGGGGCCAATTCGAGCGCGGCGGTCTGTCGACGGCACGAATTTGGGATGGGACACCTTCGGGACCCGGCTGCGTGCTACTTGGATAGCACGCTTTCGGAGTACCGACGGCTAAGGCCGAGGCAGAAAAGGTTTCTGTTTTTTCTCCGCTTTTCTTCACAGGATTTTCCTGTGAAGAGAGACGAGAGAAACAGATCTTTCAAACTCGAGGTGTCGAACCACCAGCCCGACGCTCACTACCAGAGAACATCTTTAGAACAGCAAGAGCTCGGACGCGAGAGAATCGATCACTCCGCTCTTACCTCACAGCCCACACGCACACCGTGACAGAGCCAGCCAGTCACTGCACGCCTCTGAAATCAATTACCCCAGCGGATGAACGGTACAACAGTCAGCACTTCTCTACACGAGTCGGCTCACAAACTCGACAACCTGAGAGACAGGCATCTGGAGCACCAATGTAGGGAGTACGGTACTTGCTCACACTGCACGCGAGCGTAGTGCGTGGTAGATACGGTCGCCGTGGAAGCACGTGTTGTCAATCTTGACAAAGTTCAGATTTCCACGCGCTGTGGTGACCCAGTTCGCCACCTTGCTGTTGATGTCCGACTCCTCATTATCGGGAACCAAGCCGGCGTTATCCCCTTGGTCCTTGGCGAAATCGAGGAAACACTGCGTCTTATCCCATTGCGTCTTCCACCAGCTGCTGGCATCGCTACCTGCACAGAGTACTGCCAGCGGGTTCTGCCACATTGCCTGAACCTCCTGCAGCTTGTCCGCGTCCGGCCCGCCGACCGGCTTTGTCGCCGTGCTGTCCATGTACGCTCGGAGGGCGTCCCAGCCTTTTGTCAAAGTTAACGTTTCATCGAAGTTGTCCTCGACGACATCCGCTGTCACCACCATGACGTTGCCACCACCCGGCAGCCTCGACAGTTCCATAGCCTGCGCCACCGTCAAACCCCTCAGCTCGTCCCCGTCCTGGACCACGTAGTTGATCCCGGCGCTCCTGAGGCTGGCAAGGGCCTGATCCGTCGTGGACACTCTACACTTGATCTTTGGGAAGGTGACCGATCGGCAGCTGTCGTCCATGACGGCCTTCAGAACAATCAGGTCTTCCGCGCCTGCACAGCCGGTCTGTTGCTTGCTCCTGTCGTTTGCCCATTGCACGATCGAGCGGAGGGACTCGTCCACATCCATGTGGATTGGCACCGGCCCGTGGCTAAACATGAACTTGTACCCGTGCACGGCGCCCAGCCCGATCGGCACCTGCTGCGTGAAGCGAAGGTCCAGCGACCTCGCCCCGCACGTCAACTGGCCGGCAAAATCCACGCGCTGGGTGATCGTCCACTGGAGAACGAGTTGGCTGATACCAGGAACCCCAACGCAGTGGGGATTTGTCACGCCGCCCCACCCCGGGTCGCAGATGTACCCCGTCGCCGCATCGTGGCTCTGCACGAGCGGCCACTCCAGCAGGCGCGTGGTATTGAGCGTACTCCCGGCCTTCATCTTCTGGCAAGTGCTATGACCGGTGGAGCCCCCCAAGATATCTCCATTCACCGGCGCGTCATCAATGATTGGGTATCGCAGTGGGTTTCCACGCGTTGGCTTACCGTTGGCTGACACGCACTGGACCTCGGATAGGACGTCCTTCAAACGCCGGCGAGCTCCGTTGCCACCTGAATCCGCGTAGCCGTCGCAGCATGGCACAGTCGGATCAGAGTCACATACGGCGTTGAAGATGCCGGTGTATGTCGCCGGGATTGACGAGAGGTGCTCCTCGCCAGCCGCGTCGTTGCACTCGTTGTCGTTGAGCTCCGAGCCGCACGCGCACGCATCGACGCAGAAGCGCTGCACGCCTGCCACCTCCGACCTGGCCGGCTCATCGTACTCAGCGAGATCGGCCGCACACAAACCAAAGCCGCGGGCCGTCATGCAGCAGGGCCATCCAACGCACTTGAGACGATTCGCGAATGGCGCAAACATCGGTCCGCGCTCCGGCGGGACGGTCTCGTTGACGGCCTATGCGGATACGAGGGCAACGGTTCGTAGAATAGGCAAAGGTCCAGAGGTAAAGGTAAGGTGAGCTAAACTTCTCCATGCACGGTGGCGTGGCAAGGGTTAGCACCAAATGCTGAGCCGCAGTGCACCGTGAGGGAAGCCGCGCGGTCGGGCTCGGACTCGGTCTCCACCTGCAGCGCGATCGCAACTGGCACCACGGCAGAGGTTGCAAAGAGTGCGGTTGCACCGTTGAGAAGGAGCATCATGATGAAGCCGAGACGGCACGGACCGCACGTCGGCATCTTCTGAGGGCAGGGTGGCAGAGGGATGAGACGGTGGACCAATTTTGTCGGAGCTGTGCCGATCACAAGCTGGGCGGGGAGGCCGTATGGCCCGGCGTGAGCGAAGCAGGCAGCTGGGGGTATGTGAGCAACGGAACACTGGCGTCATGGAGCGCGAACGGTCCTGCCCGCAGCTTGGACGGCAGACCGGCGGCAAGCACTGCGTGCTCGCGTGCAAGAATGGGCGGCGCGGGGGCGGCGGGGCGGCGCCTTGCGAGACGATTCGTTCGGGGCGCGTCGGCAGCAGGTGGGCGTGTTCTCGATCAAAGCTGGGCACACAGATGCAACTCTTTCAGTATGTGGCTCTTCGTCCTTTTTGCGCGCGCGCGGGTGAGTGAGTGACACACACACACACACACTTTGCGTGGGGTGGTGGGGTGGGGTACCTCGAGAGGGTGGTGGGGAGGGGAACGGAAGTCGGCGGTCAGACAGACGGCGCTTCGAGATGATGGGGACCTCCCTGCGTGCGATGCTCTCTCTCTCTTGCGGCGACGCGTCAGGGGGCTGCTCCGGCCGGGCGGGCGGGCGCCTGAGGCCTGAGGTGCATGGGCGACTTCGTGGTAGGAGAGAGCAGGGCTGCGGGCTCACGTGGCGCACGCGTCGCCGCACGCGCCGAGCGTACGCTAGAGTAACGGAGGCTCAGCACACAGGCGGCTCACTGTCAGAGGGAGACGACACGGAGGCGGAGTGGCATGAGGACTGCGGCGAGGGGTAATTCTCTGTTTCTTTTTTGCACTACACGGGCAAGGGACCTGTGTAAGTGCCAGTGCGTGCCAGTCCCGAGTGCCGAGAGAGAGTCCTTCTTTCAGTCCCGTGCCCAGTGCAGTCAGTGTTGTGCGAGTGGCACTAACACAGGCAGGTTGGCCTGTACGAGGGTTTCCGGCAACCCAGAGGGAAACCAGAGGGTCCCCAGCACTTTGCGTTTCCGGAAGTTTCCAGGGAAACCAGAGGGTGTTTGGTGCTCCATTCTGTTTCTCTCGAGTTTCCCTCGGGAAACTCGCGAGTTTCCCTGAGTCTGAGAGCTGGTCTGGGGCAAAATCTGGGGCAAAATTGAGGAAATCGGCACGATACCCAGGTATTTTCCAGGTATACCGGGGTTTTCCAGGTATACCCGCAAAATACCCGGTATTTTGCCGATTTTGGCCCCAAAACAGCCTCAGACACGGCTCAGAGCCCCCCCAAAATGACGAATTCCACGGAGTTTCCCCGGGGTTTCCCGAGGAAACTACAGGGTGTTGTAGGGAAACGAGCAGGAAACACGGAAAGGAAACCAGGTAGGGTGCGAGAGGAAACCCTCGTACAGGCCAACAGGCAGGCCCCGCCCGTGCCCAGTGTTGTGAAGAGACAGAGCGTGCCGTCGTGGTCAAAACGGCGGCGCAAATTCTTTTTCGCGCGCCAGTCCCGTCCCCGTGTTGACTGTTGTGAAAGAAAGAAAGAGAAGACGGCAACAGACAACGTACCCAAGGGAGGGGTGGGAGGACGGCACGCCGCCACGCACACAGCGATTTTAAAATACTTGGGTGACGAGCTCAAAATGACGAGCTGAACAATCACGGTTTCGTTGATTTCGGAATTAGGGGGGTCCTCTGGTGTGTTCGATTTTGGAAGGATCGAGAGTCCGAGCCGCCCTGTCCTTGCCCCTTTTGCCATGTCCCTTTGCTGCCTCTGCACTCGCCCCGATGAGGAGCGAGTGTCGGGGCGCCTGCCACACCCGTCTGTTTGTCGCCCGCTGGCCGTCCTTGTCTGCGTTTCGTGCGAGCAGGGCTTGATCCAAGAGCGTGGCGCACGACGCCGCATTTCTGACGGCGCACCCGAGCCGTCTCACTGGAGCGGGCCGCAGGTGCCCTCCGCTGGCCTGTGGCAGGTGGGGATCCCTGCTGGTGGCGACCTCCTCGACGAGTTCACGGGCCGCGCCATGCCCTCGCCGAAAGAGGAAGGCCACTTGACGCTCGGATCAAACGCCGCAGCTGACGAGCAGTTGCAGGCGTGCAAGAAGAAGCGCTCCCGCGGGGCGTTCGAGGGTGTGGCCGGCGAGGGTGGTGAGACACACGAGGAGGCTGGCAACGAGGAAGAGGTGACGGACATCAAGGTTTACAACAACGAGAAGGAGGAGGTGGCAAGGGAGCCCGGGCTCGGCGACGCGGCTTCCACGCAGCGCAAGCAGCACAAGCAGGCGTACAAGAGCAAATTCAAGGTGGGTGATCCGGTCATGCACAAGTTCAAGGAGGGTGAGGGGATGCGCTACCACAGGGGTGTGATCAAGAGCATCAAGCTTGTGACTGAGGGAGGAAAGTGCCCGGGGATTGAGCACTGCATCGAGTTTGACGACGGGGAAACCATCCACGACATGAAGGGGAGCGAGCTCGAGGCCTACAAGGCAAGCAAGGTGAAGTACAAGAAAATCAAGGTGAAGAAAACTGTTGCGGGCAAGGTACTGATGGACAAACGCGCCGCAACTCAGTCATCTTCTCTTCCCCCTCTGCCAGCGCTGGTCCCCTGCACCACGTTTGACAGCGAGTCAGACTCGGAGATGGAGGGTACATTGTCCTCGCATGCCACTTCCCTGCATCGGCGAACGAGCCGGCGTGTCATGCACATCCATCCGGAGCAGAGGGCGGCGCTTGCACGGGCCAAGCAGTACGGGCAAGAGGTGCTCGGCCGGCGCTTGAGCATCTACTGGCCACCGGAGAAGATGTGGTTCCGAGGGTGCATCAAGGACTTCTCCGTGATTGACGAGACTCACTATGTCGTCTATGATGACGGCGACGCACAGTGGGAGGCCCTTGGGAACTCTGAGGCGCTCAGCCACCTGCAGTGGGAACAGGAGGGAACGCCTCGCTGCGGCAAGCCAGAACCCATGGTCAAGATTGAGCCGGAGGACCTTGAGCCGGAGGAAGTGTGCCCGCAGCACTCCTTGCCCGTCCCCTCGCGCAATGAGGCCCCCTCGCGCAATGAGGCCGACCTCAATGCTGCCAACGTGCTCATGAGCCTGCACATCCCACGGCTGCAAGAGAGCCACCTGGACGAGGCGAAGAGCACCGTTGATTCGGTCAAGATCTCTGACCTAGTAGGCTGCAGCCTCCTAACCGGTACTCCACAGCTCATCCCCTCTGACCTGCCTGAGGCGCAGGTTGACCACAAGTGGGTCCAGACTCTGCTGGAGCACGCGTGCGACCCGTCCGACCTGCTCTGGCTGTACAACAAGTGGGGTGCGCGGCACAGCCGACAGGGGCTCCAGGAGGTCAAGCTGCGGCATGCTTCCACCGACAAGGCACATACGCTCGGTGACGCCGAGGCGATCGAGTACCTCCGAGACCTTGTGGGCCCCAAGGAGTACAACCGCCTTTGTTGGATGAGCCGCACGAACTAAACTCTTCTGCCCACGACAACGCAGCAGAGACAGAACATCGGCTCGTAAGCTGACCAGAGCAAGCCGAGCCTCACACCTGGTGGAGTGGGGGGGGGGGGGGAGCTGACAGATGACGGCTTGAGTACTTGGAGCACTTGGAGTGCAGTCGGTAACCTCACATCCAGGGCCGGGGAGCTAAGAAGCGTACCCAACGGGCCGGATGATCGGCATCGGGCTACCTACGGGCTAGAGAGCCCTGACCCCTAAGTAAGGGGGGGTGCGCGTTCGCAGGGAAAGGGCTGTAAAGTAAAACACGGGTGCCCGAGGGTTAGCTCTGCGCTCCGGGTTTCCCCTAGCAGCGGAACGCCCCCTCTACTGTGGGTCTACTCGGGGCTACTCGCAGAGTGTGGGTAAACGAAAGTACCGTATTCGGTACTATCAAGAAAGACACCGAAAAAAGTCGGCGCGGCAGTCCACGACGAGCCAGCCTGCTGCCGGCTCGCACGGCAGCCTCTTCCTATGGACCAGCCTCGACTTCCATACAGTCAACATTTTGTCGCTGCGTGCTCGTGGTGAGCTGTGGCGGCGGTCGAAGTTCGCCCAGATTCGGTGACGAGCGCCGGACGATAGTACCGCCTCTGTTCGCCCTGTGCATGTCAGGCCAGGCTGCAGCAGGGCACTACCAACGTGCTGCCCTGTTGCAGCCTGACTTTGCCCACTGTGCACAGTCGCCAGAGCACCACCACCGCCCGGCATCGTGTCACGGCGAGCTCCTTCTGCGCCCGCTCGCGAGGCTCTCGCGCTGGCACACTTTGGCCATCTGCTGCTCGCGTTCGGCGAGCTCTTCTCCGCACTCCTGCCACGGTGCCGTCACCACACACCTTCTGGCTGGCCTGAGCCGCGCGGGGTCGCCGGCGGGGGCAACGCGTCGACCTCTCTCTCTGGTGCACCACGGGCCGCAACGGCCTGCGAGCAGCGTGCGCGAGGAGGCAGTGTGCCGGCACAGTCGAGCCGGAGCATCGGGTTCTTGATGCTTCTGGGGTCAAGTTTGACCTTATGTGGTATAATATGCAACAATACATACATCGAGATCTCTGCGGGACACCAGTAGATTTGTTGAGTGGAGATCGTAGATGCCGATCAGAGATCTTCCACACACAGCATCTCTCACAAAACTCAGAGATCTTTAACTGAAGATAGAGATCTTGAGCTGCCGCCATCGGCACCTCGAGATCTCAGGCCGGAGACGGAGATGTTGACTTCGCGCCAAAGGCGCCTCGAGAATCGTGTGGCCGACTGGAGATTGCAAAATGGCGCGAAAAGAGGGTGGAGATCCGCTTGAAGGTGTGAAAGGAAAAGAGCATCCCCTTGGAAGGACATCGATCCCCCCCTGACACGCCTCCCCCACGAGATTGGAGATTGGAGATCGGAGATGAAGATCGGAGAACGCGCCTCCTTGTTATGAGCGCGCCGCGATGGAGCTCACCTCGTTAGTCTCTGGCATGACCGAGTTCGCCGCGAACCTGTATCCTCTAAAGACCGAGGAGGAGCTCGTGGCGCTCCTGAGCGGCATGCACCACTTCCCACCTGGCGTGCCTGAGCGTGCCCGTCGCGTCCATGGGCGGCTGCCCGCCGGGTCGGCACTCTGCTCCTCTGACGTCGGCGTGCTGATTGACCGGCTCGACACGGAGGGAGGCCTTGACGGGTTGTACAAGCATCTCGCGCACACCAAGGAGGACCTACATTTCGTTCCGAGCACCAACACGGAGGCCGCGGAGCAGGCGTGTCGAGCCGCCCTCTCGGCCTGCACGCGTTGCCCCCTTGTCACATGTACAACATGCACTCAAATCCGCCTGATAGGCCTTCGTCTTTCTCGCTCGCTCGAAGCACATCTTCCGCACAC